CATAGGAGAATACTTGGCCATAGAGAATCATTGGAGATGTCTATGGATAACCTGGATTGCCAAAAAGAGAAATGAATGGGTTCTAGAGCAAATCAGGCCTGACGTGGAGGCCACGATGGTGAACTGAGGCTGTTGTGCTTTGAACAGATAATGAGGGGATGAGATTTATTGGAAAAGATGATAATTCTCAGTAAAGTGGGATGCAGTAGGAAAACAAGAAGCAGCACTAGAGGTGGATTGAATTAGTTCAAGGAGTCATGGCCCTGAATTTGCAGGACCTGAGCAGGGCAGTGGATGACTGGGTCTCCTGGAGGTCTCTCATCCATAAGGTCTCCATGAGTAATAATGGACTTCATGATAAATAATAACAACAATGGTGCCACAGTATTCTTGGTGTTGCTGTCAGTGCTTGGAAAAATTAATTGTGAGACTAGGGTTGCATCCACACTGCAGAGATAACCCAGTTTGATGCTACTTTAACTGCCCTGGTTCCATGCTATGGGATTCTGGGAAGTGGAGTTTGTTGTGGCTCCAGGGCAGAATCCCATAGCATGGAGCCAGGGCAGTTAAAGCAGCGTCAAAGCAGATTATCTCTGCAGTGCAGATGTAGCCTAGAACTTCCAGAGACTCCCAACCACTTCCAGACTTTGAAACTCCCTCCCTTTGTGCACTCAGGCTTTTTCAAACTGACTGGGGTTGGGCTTTCAAATGCTGTGCGATTTAGATTTTAAGGTCCAATGGCTAATGGAGTGCACCAAGGAATTCCAAAAGAAAACCAGCATGTGCTTTATAGATTATAGCAAAACCTTGGATTGACATAGATTGCAAAAGGCTGTGGAATGCCCTTAAAGACGTGGGAGCTGTTTTCTAAATTCTATATTGAGTGTTGGACTGTGACTCTGGAGGCTGGTGTTCAATTCCCTGCTCAGCCATGAAACCCACTGGGTGACCTTGGGCGAATCACACTCTCTCGGCCTCAGGGGAAGGCAATGGCAAACCTCCTCTGAACAAATCTTGCCAAGAAAAACCCATGATAGCTTTGCCTTAGGGTCACCATAAGTCAGAAATGATTTGAAGGCACACAATAACATTGCATTAAGTGATGTAGCTCCAACCCATGGAATCCTGGGCTTTGTAGTTTTACACTGTCTTCAGCCTTCTCTGCCAGAGAGCGCTGGTGCCTCACAAAACTACCAATCCTAGGATTTTGTAGGATGGAGCTGTGGCAGTTAAAGTGGTGTCAAACAGTATTGTTTCTACAATGTAAATGCACCCTGTGTCTCCCTCTCTCTCCCAGCTATTCCTCTGGATTTGATAAACAATGATGATGATGATTACTATTACTATTTTGTTGTTTGCCTTCAAGTCATTTCAGACCTAAGGAGAAACTATCATAAGGTTTTCTTGGCAAGATTTGTTCAGAGGAGGGTTGTGGTTGTTGTTATTATTATTCAGAGGTTAGTGTTGTTGTTGTTGATCAGAGGGTAGTGTTGTTATTATTATTATTTAGAGGGTGTTGTTATTCAGAGGAGGGTAATGGTTATTATTAGAGGGTAGTGTTATTATTCAGAGGAGGGTCAATCTCTATCTATATCTATATCTGGCTTTTCTTCGCAAATGAAGATTCAGGAAGGACTCATCCCACGCTTTTTGCAAGCGCGCTGATGACTAAAAAGGCCAATCCGAGATAAACAAGTCCGGTTGCAGAAAGCACAGCAGAAGATCTCCTTGGGTGATGTTTCCAGGTTGTGATTCTTTCTGCGTTGTCGTTTCTCTTCAAGACTTGTTCAGCGTGAGTTCTCAAATAAGGCTGCAGCATTGTGGATAGTGCATCTCCATGCCTCCCAATGTGAGGCCAGGGCGGACCATCGTTGGTGATCAATTTGGCCGAGCCTGAGATGTTGTTTCAGGGAGTCCTTGTATCCCTTTTTTGGAGCGCCCCTCTTACGCTGACCCGTGGCGAGTTCACCGTAGAGTACTATTTTGGAGGGTAGTTTGTTATTATTATTACTATTCGGAGGGTAGTGGTTGTTATTATTATCATTCTTCAGAGGAGGTGAGTGGTTGTTGTTATTATTATTATTATTCAGAGGGTTGTTTTGTTATTTTTATTATTCTTCGGAGGGTAGTGGTTATTATTATTCCAAAGGAGGGCAGTGTTGTTGTTGTTGTTGTTATTATTATTATTCAGAGGAGGGTAATGTTGTTGTTATTATTCAGAGGAGGGTAGTGGTTGTTGTTATTGTTCAGAGGGTGTTGTTGTCGTTGTTACTCAGAGGAGGGTTGTTGTTGTTGTTGTAGATCCTGATCATGAAGATCATCATCATCATCCGGGTCTCTCCCTCAGAGGAGCGAAGTTTTCCCACAGGATTGCCCCCGCTGGCTCGAGCGGGCGGCCCCGTAGCCTCCTAGGCCTGTCCCTCCCGTCTCCTAGCAACCTCGAGGGCCGCGGCGTGCCCACGTGATGCTCCACCAGCCGGAAGCCAAGGGCGCGATGCGCTCATAAGACGGGGACGCTGGGTTGTTGCCGGAAGTGATTCGTGATTTAGTAGTTTCCGGTGTGAGGAGGGCAGGGAGGTGCTCTTTAACGGTCTGGAGAGGCTGCGTGAGTCCGAGGAAGGAAGGAAGGAAAGAAAGGGGTCTGGGCTGTGTTAGTCAGTTAGTCCTGAGCGGGGATGGCGCTGTGGCCGCCTGGGCCGGGAGAGGAGCTGCTTCCGCCTCGGCCGAGCGCGCAGGTAACGGTGGCTTCGCGGGCAGGAAGGTCTCTTCCCTGGTAGCCGGGCGGTCAGGGGCGCGGAGGGCCGGGCTGCGGGTTCCTGGGGCGGAGAGTGGCCATAGTCCTGCCCCGCCCAGATGAAGGGCCTCGGGTGGCTCCCCTTCAGTGGCGGTCCCTCCTGGTGTCACCTTCCTCCCGTTGACCTCCTCCTCCTCCTCCTCCTCCTTTTCCCATTTCACACCATACAGAGCCCATAGGAATGCCTTTCTTTGTACTAATGTTACTTGTAAATCATAATTCCCGTGTGTCACCGAACATCACGGCAATAGTTGTGACATAAACAACTCGCCAAAGTAAAATTGTACCTTTAAATTACAGCATCGTACGCTGGATGGGTGGGATTCGGGATTTTATGTTTTGTTTAATGGAAATTGTAATATTGTAAGCCGCCCCGATTGCTCTGCAGAGGGGTGGGATATAAATAAAAAGTATTATTATTATTATTATTATTATTATTATTATTATTATTATTATTACCTCGGTGTATCTACACATACGTAGTGAAGGTTTGTTCTTTAAAATGTGTTTTTTTTAAAAAAAAAAGTTTGAAAGAATAATTTTTAAATATATATATATAGATTTAAAAATTAAAATTTCAAAATTTTAATTTTTTAAAAAAAATCTGGGGGCCCTCCTTTCTCCTCCCCACTGTGCTTTGCCCCACTCCCACCATCTCTTAAAGCAGGGGTAGGCAACCTTTCCCCTTTAAGGGCCCAGGGACTTCAGCTCCCAGAATCCCAGGAGCTATTGGCCAACATGGGACTATTGGCCAACATGGCTGAGGCTTCTGGGAGCTGAAGTCCCTCGGCCCTTAAAGGACAAAGGTTGCCTACCCCTGTCTTAAAGCATTTTAAAAGGAAGCAGGTGAATGTCACAGCCCCTTTCTGCCGAAAGGTGTCTGAGGAGAAGTGGTGTCACCCACCCCCCTTTTAGGGTGTCACCTGGTGTGGTCTGCCCTCTCCCCTCCCCAGTGACACAACTGCTCCCATGGTGACCAGAGGTCCTAACCTCAAAGGAAGGGACAAGGCGCTGTAAAATGGAAGAGATTCCAAAATAAATGCTCAAAACAGTGATATGAATATAAATTCACATTTCTCAGTCATGCTCAGAATGGATGACCTTCTGGAGTTCTTTCTGGGCAGATGGTTGAATTGGAGGACATGTCCTGGAAAAGGAGGGCACCTGGTCTCCTTGGCTGGTTCCTCTCATTCGTGTTGCCTTTCTGGAGTCTCACACAACTCCATTCAGTGAGAAGTCAAAGGCTTTCATAGCTGGCATCCATAGTTTTTTGTGGGGGGGGGGGGTATGGCTATGTGGCCGTGTTCTAGAATATTTTATTCCTGATGTTTTGCCAGCATCTCTGGCAGGCAAAACATCAGGAATATAGCCGCATAGCCCAAAAAGCCCACACAAAAAAACCTATTCAGTGTCTTTGACATAAACAATTCCTCCTTTCTTTCAGTGCAGCCAACACCCACAATCCACAAAACAGCATTAACTTTATGGGTCAGAAGAAGAAGCCAGTGCAGCTTTGAAAATTTGCACAGCATGTATTTTATGCATTCCGGTTGGCCCGATAAAAATATTGCTGTTTTGTGGATTGTGGGTGTTATTGTACTTTGCTATATGGCCAACACAGCTCCCTCTGGATATGTTGTTGTTGTTGTTGTGTGTCTTCCAGTCATTTCTCACAATTCTGAGGCGACCCAGTGCATAAAATAAAGGGTGGAGACATTATGGATCGCATAGGAAGTACATTTGTATTTTGCTAATGGAATTTAAATTTCCCAGACTTTAAAATACTTTGTCTCCCAGTATCACATGGCCAGGAGGAAGAGTGGCCTGCCTGCACAGAAAACCATCCAT